CTAAAGATAAAAATATGTATTATTGCATGCTAACATTTCTTTAAAAATATTTATGATATAAATAAACATATAATTGTTCGTAAAATATTATTGTCAATCTTCTATTCTGTGTAATTGAATTATTACTGTCTTCATTAAAAAGTCATTACTATTATAATAATTATAATAAAGTTGTATAAAATGCTTGTGAAATTGTACAAATTAGATTAACAGACATTTTCGGACATTATCACATCTTTGACATGGGCGACATGGCAATTACTATAAACATTTAATGAGTGGTAAGTATTAAATCTTATTTTGTAATTAATAATACATATCCAATATATTACAAAAAAGAACAGAAATTAATAATAATGTAATTTTTGTATTGAAATTTTCTCGTCGAAAATTAAAATAAATTATTGTAGTAAAGAAGTCATGGTGTTCAATATACTTTATCCATAGATTTATGTAAATAGACTGCGTATTCATATGCGACAACTAATGATAATATTGAAAAACAAAAAAATATATATATAGTTAAAAATATGAGAATAAGAGTAAGAAAAAGAAAATAATGCGCATTTCATTTCCAGAAGAGAAGTGATTGCGTCTCCTTTTTTTCTCTTTATCACATGCATAATTAAATAAAATTGTATTTCTGCTATTCTCTTTTATCAATGTTAATATTTTATTTTTAATGAAGCGCACAATCTATCTAAGTTTGAATCTATGATTTTATCCTGCCAGTCACACAAATAAACTAATTTCCATAAAAATATAAAACAGATGTTTTAATTATGTTGAATTTTAGGAAAAAATATACTCAAATGTATATTTAATAAACACAACATAATTATATTTTATAATCCTTTATTGATAAATGCAAATTTCTAAAGGTAATCTTATTCATAAAATCGTACATTTAAATTTATGATTTTTAAAATGAAAGATTTTTTCTTACTTTTATTGTAATTGCATTTTTCATTTATTTCTAAAAAATTCTCTAAATATATTTGTTTACAATTAAATTTGAAATATTCGGTAATATTTTATAGGACTAAATTTATATTTTATTATTGTTATCGATGTTGTTTGTCACAAGATAAATGTTTTTACAAACTTTAAGAAAATTACTTGATTTATAATTGAAATTTAATATAATAATTATATATTGTGTACGTTACACATGTATAATTATATTGTACGTACATATATCTATTATAAAATCATTACAGTAATTTTTTTGAAATTTTTTGAACAAGTGAAATCGAATCGAAAACGATAAATTTACTTTTAAGAAAGAACTATGAAGTCAATATTTGTTTTAAATGTAATTGTTGCTCTTATGGAAAATTCTAATGAAAAAGAGGGATATGTTGCACACTGTGATAATCGCTCATGGTCATCTCGATGTATGTCGTACTTCGTATCATAAGCAGTTGCTATCAAGTTTTCATAGTTCGTATATTATGTGTAATATTAGGTGTTAAACTTAATTCCTGCCGTTTGTCGTCTCCAAAATTGATTTGTTTCGAAGAGAAGATGACTGAATACCTTAATCAAAGTAATTTCCTCCATTTTCTACTTTATTACTAATTAATAATACTTTATTAATAATACTTTGATTAAGGTATTTCCCTTCGAAACAAATCAATTTGGAGAAAAACGGCAGGAATTAAGTTTAACACCTAATAATTGCATATATTATCACACGGCTGCAATTCGTTTGTTCAGTTAACCAATAATGATATATAATATAAAGTATTATTGAAAACTGGCGTACTACTTATTATAATAAATGTTGAGCTATCAAATGCATATGCTATACAAGAGCCTTTGAATGACTCGCTATGCTTCAAATAGGCTTATATTGTTAAATTTTCAGGCCTTTAAGATACTTGAGCCATTTGCTAATTTATTTATGAAAACAGATTATTATAATGGACGCGCCACGTATTATACCTAATTAGCGATTTGTAACAATGAATTAAAAATGTCATTATGTAATATTAAAAAAAGTAATATTAAAATTTATTATACATAAAATCTGGAAGAAAATAACATGTAAAATGATTTTTTTAAATAAGAATATAATTCTACTCTTTAATTTGAATTTGTTGAGCAGCTTAACAATATATTTAATAATATGTTCTTATGTAATTATTAATTAATATAGAACAATAAGAAACGCGAATTTCTAATTATCATTTTATAAATCTAGATAATTTTCAAGAGATATATTTTGAGAAATTATATTCATAAAAACCTGAATTATATTTATAAAAACATTACTAGAAAAACATCTGATGCAAATGTATGATTTGTGTGTACTTGCATTAAACAGATAACTAGAATAGATAATTCACGAGTATATACAGGGTGTTTGATAAGTAACAATAAAATTCTCGCATAGGGGTAGAGAGGACTAAACTGAGTCGAAAAGTCCTCAACCATTTTGTAATTTTCACAATAATTAATAAGATTTCCAAAAATCACCGAATATTGGTTTTTAATCATTTTTTACTCAAGTACCACCAACTTTACAGAAAAACAGCAAGAGAAAAATTGGGTATTTTCTTTTCATAGAGCTCTAAGAATTTTTTCAGAATTTTTTGTCAACTTTTTAGTACCGCATTTTCTTATATATACGTATATTGGCAACTATTTTTACCAACATGAGAAAATGTGGTACTAAAAATTCTGAAAAAATTATGGAGAGAAAGAATTCCAGGAAAAAATCAACAATTTTTGTCACTTGCTATTTTTTTTGTAAAGTTGTTAGTATTAAAGTAAAAATTTATTCAAACCAATATTAGAGTAAAAAATTATTCAAACCAATATTCGGCGATTTTTAGTAATTAATATCTTATTAACTATAGAGAAAATTGTAAAATGGTACAAGACTACTTGATTCAGTTTAGTTCACTCTACTCCTATGCGAGAGTTTTATCGTTACTTATTAAACACCCTGTATGTATATAATCTGAACTTGAATATATTTGCTTTACTACTGTAATTTTGGTAGTTTTGATAGATAGTCTAGAAGAATAGTTGTAAAATTATTATATTCTATAATTAATTATTATATTCTATAATTAAAATATGAATATCCAAAAAAAAATGTTTCTACATAAATCACGAAAATAAGTGAAAATAAGTATATATAATGTAATAGAGAAAAACTAATTAACTTTAAATTGAAAATTCGCAAGAATATTCCTCTGATTCAAAATTTAAATTTTACGAAGGCTTAGAGACACTTAATATTGTCAAAAGCTTACGTAGATTAACATTATAAATTATATTCGAAAGACTTTTAAATCTAAATATGTTTATACAGATACGATTTTAGATGAATAAACTTGAATTAATATAAAGTTCTTTTTGACGTAAAAAAAAAATCTCATGTAACTGCGAACTGTGTATAAAATGTATGCTCTCATTATTTTAAAAGAAGTTTGCTAAAGTGGCAGAAGTTAATTTAATGCTAAAATGTTTTTACATAATCCATAAGAACTTCAAATGATGATAATAATGTTAACATTGGTGATCATATAATACTGACATTGATGACTATACTACAATGCAATTATGCAGAACCATTATTTTTAGTCATAAATTCGCGTTATAACTAATCAACATTACAGTTGGAGAAATTATGAAGAACGTATTATCTTGTGTGTATATCATGTCATATATACAGATGATAAATATTCCAGTGAATGTCACTCTAATAACAATACGCAGGGCTGGGCATGCTATTTGAAATACTTTTATTTAAAACACACTATTTGCAATACAAGCGAATTTTGTATTTTTTATTTTAGCGGATCACATAAAAGTATTACGTATTTCGTATTTAAAATCGAAAGATTGAAAGCTTTTTGTATATTGTGATTCAAATAATAAGATTGATTATCAATGTTAGTATTTGAAATACAAAATACAAAGTACTTTCATAATTTTTGTTATTAATACTGAAATATAAAATACAAAATATTTTCATGTACTTTAAACAAACATAAAATACAAAATATAATTGTCTTACCAATACTGTTTTTCAAATAAAAGTATTTCAAATACTAACATTGTCCAGCCCTGATAATACGTAACAACCGGATATTTCCATCGCAGGATCCGTGTCGACTGATACAGAGCTAAATTATCGACTTTATGTTCCTTATCACGCTTATGACTTCCACAAATTTAATATTTAATAATGTTTTGCATACGTGTGTTGCTTGTGAGAAAGGTATTTGTGAAAGCATGGTTACATGTTCAGTGGTACTTCATAAGAATTATAAAGCGCAACGTCAATTAGAATACACGTGAATATTCACCGGACTCGCAATTAGTTGTATATAATGTTCAAACGATCGCAATTAATTTGGATTTAGAGCAATTGGAAAGACAGATATCCATAAAATAAAACGGTCGCCTCTTAAAATATCAATTTATGAGTTATATACGCGTGAAACGTTTTAATAAAGAAGACTTAAAGTATGTAAATTAAAAAAAATCTTTATATACAAGTGTCTTCAAAAGAAAAATATTGAGAAGATTGAACTGAAATAAAGAAAATATTTATAAACCATGAAACACGAGCCAATATGGATGAATCGACAAGACATAATGAAGTAAAGAAGTAGATATTAACTTAGAATTAAAAAATTATGGAAGAAGATAGTCATTGCAAAAATGTTTTCGATTCGGTTAAGAATTCAACTTTCATGAACGTCAATAAAATTTTCAATTTCTTTAGAAATACAAATAAAGAAAATTCTATTGCGGAAATAAATAGTGAACAGAAAGTGAACAAAATAAAATCAGAGCTACATCAAGATTTATTTTGGACGTTTAGAATATTAATAATATTCTTTAAGCTTATCGGTCTCGCTACATTCGCCCACCGAATCGTCATATACAAAAAGAGAACGTCATATACATTTCAATATTGCAAATTAGGAATCGCTTACAATGTTGTGCTGAGTAGTTTAATGATAGCCTCGAACTATATGTCTATATCGTTCAGACTTAATTTGGACTATGAGAACAAGACGAATTTGACTGTAAGCATCGAGGTTTTGCAAACTGTACTTGGTGCCTTGGTGATCTGCGCGATTTTGATTAGCTATTGCATCGAACAGAAGTCCTTGGTGCGAATCGCCAATCGATTAATCACCATCGAGGATGAGATAGATCGTCTGTATAATCTATATCATCCGCTACGACGACAGCGTATCTTCTGCATTATAATCATCGTTTGCATCTTGAAGGTTTTTCTACTGATACTTCTCCTGTTCACTGAGATCCTGGCCTTCCATACGGGCCCAGTCTCATGGCTGACAGACGTTTTGCCGACATTTCACGTGGGTTGGCTATTGATACAGTACTTCCTGTTGGCGACGGTCATTCAGACAGATTTTGCTGATGTGAATCGAGCGATACAAAGCCTCACCAGAATCAATACACCTGATCTTCGACTGCAGTCTCTCTATCAAACTCGTCGTATCGTAGTCAACAATTCGACCGTTCATCAACTGTTGCAATTGCGAGATGTGCATTGTCATCTCTGTAAAATCTCTGAGGATGTGTCAAGTTTCTATTCACTACCAGTACTATTCGGAATCGTTTTTCTCTTTCTGACACTCGTATATAATGGTTACTATCTTCTCTCGCCTCTGTTGATGACTGATAATATCTTAGAATATGAAACTCTTAGTAATACCATCGTCTGGATAATATTTCTGATTTATCCCATTTCTCTCCTTACCAATAGAATTACCAGGATTTTAATCGAGGTAGGATAATCAATGCAATAAGATCACATTTTAATCAGACCGTTTTAATCGATAAAACAAAATATTTTTATTAGTAAATAAAATCCCAAATATTTTATGAAATATTTCAATTATAAATTTATTATAGATGAAGAAAACAGGTAATATAGTGCATGATTTTTTAAACTGTGCAATCGGGAAAGAAACAAAAGCAGAGGTAAAAAACAAAGTAGATAAAACTTTCTCAGAAACGGTACTCATCGTAACGACATTTATCATAGATATGTTACAGCTCAAGAAATTTTCGCTTCAATTGCTACATCGCAAAATACAGTTTACAGCTAATGGATACTTTACGCTCGATAATACTTTTCTTCATTCGGTGAGAATATTTAAAATATCATGTAAGTAATTTAATAAATTAAATTTTTTGAATTAATAATTTTGATTATCTCTCTCAGCTGGTTGGCACAGTGGTGACATATTTGGTAATACTTGTGCAATTTCAAATGGGAAGCTCGCGTTCATCGATCAGACAGCAATGTAACTATACAGAGAAAGATTTAAAATAAGAAGCAGAATAATAAATTAAAGATAAGAAAGAATGTAATGAGAAATATAAATATAATGAAAAATATCTTAGATGTCTCTTAAATTGTGATCTAAGACTCAATTAAATGCAATTAAATACACAGAATTGCAGTTCTGAAACTTTTTATTGTAACTCCCCTTTATAATACATACAGTCAGTTCTGATTTGTAAAATTAGAAAATATATATATAAAAATGTAAATATATATACCATTTATTGTATTTAAATTAATTGTAAGTATTGTATTTAAATTAATATTATTAATTAAATAATTTAACAATTAAACTGAATAAGACTCGATGGAATAAATCAATTGATATTATAATGCCAATATAAGAATTATCAACATCCAACAATATTGTACATCAATGTACAAATAAGTCAACAAAAAATCAAAATGACTATTTTGATGCTTAAAATTAATAAACAGTCAAATTTGTAAACAAAAATCATTATTTTGACTTTCTCTTGACTTGGTGTATTTCTTGGGTACCAGATATTCGTGTGTAATATCGATCATTTTATTATTAACAATATAAACCGAAAATATATAACGTTTCGATCCGATTTTGGATTCTTCTTAGTAAATGCGAAGTTGATAATAAAGCAAAGTCTATGGTCAGTAGTTCATAGTCAGTTCTTATACATATTTAAGATATCGTCATAAGTACATTTTTAAGATGTCATGAATCAATCAGAGGATCGTATTATCATCTTGAGATAGTTTTGAAATAAGAACTAACTATGACTACCGTCTTATGTATTAATCTCCGAACCAATTAAACTTATGATATACACATCAGTGAGAAGAAAGTTGTGTCAATGGCTACGTTTACATTGGTTTATCATGAATTTAGGCTACGGCCTATATCCCAAATTCGACTTAAATTATTTAAGTCCGTTGCTGTAAATACTTGAGAGATGACCTGACCTGGCTGTAGGTCAAATTTTGATTTTTGGTGACTTGACCTGAAATAGGCTGCTTGTAACTTCGGTGTAAATCTCTTCTTCTTTTTCTTCTTCTAATTTAATGACGCTCGCCGACGAAATAACGGCGATTCCGGCCAAGATTCGGTGTAGATGCGCGCTATCCAATCTACAACCATCATTTGTTAATCTCAAAACTGTCAATTTCAAATTGATATATGTCATGTCGTTAGTAATAGCCATATATCATATCTTGTAAAAGTCGCAAATAAAAAAGCGATTTGTTTGAAAAATGTTTAAAGAGTCGTGTCCAAAGAGTTTAAAAAGTTCGTGTTCAGCAACAATTCCTGTTCCTGCTGTTGTAACGATGTAGACAGCGCTGAGACCACAAAATACTTCAGGTCGCTTGCGGTGTAAATGATTGGTGCTTAGACCTATTTAATTGGGTCACATTATGTTAGGTCAGGCCGCATATAGATCTCTCGATGTAAATGTAGTCAGTATAACTAAAAAACTTCCTTCTGCTTTGTGCAATGACAGTTGAGTGTTTAATCAGTGACAGTCATCTTACATGATTAATAATTTAATATGTTCCTAATGTGTATCTTGAGTGCGATGTTAGGTCTGTTTCTTGTGGCTGAACTAATGTACACCTTTGAAGAGATTAAAGTGAGATAGGTATATGTGTGTTTGATATTTATTGAAATCGAGAAAGAAAGTTCTTGTCTGTTTCTTGTGGCTGAACTAATGTACACCTTTGAAGAGATTAAAGTGAGATAGGTATATGTATGTTTGATATTTATTGAAATCGAGAAAGAAAGTTCTACCCAGCAAATGAGAAATTATTGAAAAATGTTGAAAATTATTCATTGAAGTGATGTCGAATCAAGTTTTTGAATTTTTTAAATTCTTTTCTATCCGTAATTCGCTTGAATCAGTAATTATGGATTAGTTATTTACTTTCTGTATCTCATTCAATGTGCATAGAAATGAAACATACGGTCAATCCGGTTGAATCCGTAATTATGTATTGGTAATTTACTTTTGGTATCTTACCCAATATTCAACGCAATGAACTAATTCGTTTGAATTTAATGCGCGGTATTGAAGAATTATCTAATATGAGAGACCCACAAAGTGCTAGTCACTTGCAATCTCGGCAAGTGATATCGTTGAAAAGCACGCACCGAGGTGATATACGTAAGTCCTTACCTCCCAAACAAAAGCTCTGGTGTGATATACAGAGTGTGTAACATTGCGGATCGTCGGCGACAAGTTAATTTCTAGATTCTGGCCACAATACAGGTTATATCCGGGAGTTATACCCTGTTGCCGTGAATCCATAATGTTGTATACTCTGGGTATAGTACTAGGGCTCATTCGGGAAGAAATTCATATATATCTGTGATTATTATTTTGGTGCACACTTTCCAACGATAAATCACTTTCGGGGATCGCAGACTATCATTTCATTTCTGAATCTATATATATCTATATATATAATATATCTACTAGAGTTCACATTATTATACTTATCTAGATGTATAGAAACGGATTCAGTATATTCAGTCTCTACAAAATTCAATACCTTTTTCACGAATTACGCGGATTCGAAAACTTGATTCATATGGATTTATCCAATCCAATCCGTTCTCGTTTGCTGAGTAGTGCAGTCTAGTACAAGAACAGAAAACAGACCATTTATCTAGTCAGAGGACAACGCATTATTCACTCAATTGTGACTATATAGGAGAAAATTTTTTAACTATATTTTGATATACACAACATGTTCAATTTTACAACTTTCCACACACCGATGTGTATATCATAAAATTTAATAAGATTTTATTCGGACGAATATATATGAGACGGTGCGTTATCTTGATGGAACAGCACTTTCTTCTTTTTCAAATGCGGTCGTTTTTTCTCAATTTCTGCCTTTAGCTTGTCAAACAATGATGCGTAGTACGTCCCTGTTATTGTTTTACCTTTTTCAAGATCAACACAATTCCATGACTGTCCCAAAAAACAGTCACCATTACCTTTCCCACCGATAAAACGTCTTCGCTTTCTTCGGAGCAGGTTCACCCTTCGCAGTCCACTGTTTTGATTGTTCTTTTGTTTCAGGAGTGAAGTGGTGGACCCAAGTTTCATCAACCGTTATTAATCGACGCAAAAAATCCGACTCGTTTCGCTTAAACTGCTCCAACAGGGCCTTAGAAATGTTCATTCGAATGCGTTTTCGATCCAGAGTGAGCAAGCGCGGCACTCAACGCGCGGTTAACTTACGCATATATTGACTAATTCTTCAGTCAATATATGACAAACACGTTCTTTTGATATGCCAACAGCCTCTGCTATCTCCCTAATCTTAATTCGACGGTTGTCCATTATCATTTGATGAATTTCTTCGATGTTATCGGTAGTGGTCGCAGTTGTTGGCCGTCCCGAACGCTCATCATCAGCTAAGCTGGTACGACCATGTTTAAATTCAGCTACCCTTTTCACGGTGGCAAATGATGGGGCAGAGTCCCCGTAAACAGCGTCCAACTCAGCTTTAATTTGCGTAGACGTATTGCCTTTCAAATGCAAGAATTTAATTACAGCACGATATGTAATTTTTTCCATTTTTACAAAATGACGACACAAATGATTGTCAAACAAGAACTGAACGTCCAAAGTGGCCACAATTGTCACACATCTTTCGTAAGTATCACGATTATAATACCAGAATGGCTTCGACGAATAACGTAATCTTCATGATGAGGCTCAAAACTTTTCAGACGACCCTCGTACTATAATAATATTTATACATGTACAATCCTTTATCTGTTACTTTTTTGTTTATAATGGTATTTTGTTTATTAATTGTAAACTAATAATATGTAGATTTTTCAAACGTGTCGATTTTCGATAATTCATATAATTATACTTTTTTGAGGGATTCATATATATCGTACTATTTTTGCTTTTAGTCCAAAGGGTCAACTAAAACAATTCTACGGGTTTTTGCATGAATATTAAATTTAAAAATTTGAAAATATTTTATCTAAAGTGGTTATCTTTTGCGAATTTTTCCAATAAAAAATTTTTTGAAGCATTGTCATTAATTGATAATATAATATTATTTATTTGAATCATATTGATCAATCTTTATCTGATTTTGAGGTATAAATTTCACACATTTTGAGATAAATATACGTATTCAGTCCAGAGATACAGTGTGACAAAGTTGCAGGGTTTTACAGACCCTGATGCAGGCGGGAAGATAACCAAAAATAACGATAGCCTACTATGGTTATCTACCATTACAGTTCGAGAAATTACAAAGAACGTATTGTCGTGTGTGTGTATATCATGTCATATATACAGTTGATAAATCTTCTAATTGATATCATTCAAATAATAGTACCGTAAAAAACAACTATTTCCATCGTAGGATCAGTGTCGATTCAAACAGAGCTAAATTATTGTTTTCATGTTCCTTATCACGCGTTTATAACGACTTCCACAAATTTAATATTTAATAATGTTTTGCATACATGATGCTTGCGAGAAAGGTATTTGCGGAAGCATCGTTACATGCTCAGTGCTACTTTGTACGAATTATAAAGCGCAACGTCAATCTGAAGACACTGGTAGTGTCTCGCGCTAAGCTATTAGAATATATGTGAATATTTACCGGATTCGCAATTAGTTGTAAACGACGTTCGAACGGTCGTAATTAATTTGGATACAAAGCAATTGGATAGACATCGATAAAATAAAACGGACGTCTCTCAAATTATTAATTTTTGAATGATATATGTGTGAAACGTTTTAGTAAAGAAAACTTAAAGTATACAAATTAAAAAAAATCTTTATATACAAATGCTTTGAAAAAAAATATTAAGAAGATTGAACTGAAAGTTCCCTAAAGAAAATGTTTATAAATCATGAAACACAAGGTAACATGAATAAATTGACAAGACCTTATGACAAAAAGAAGTAGAGATTAACTAAGAATTAAAAAATTAAGGAAGAAGATAGCCATTGCAAAAATGTCTTCGCCCAAGAATTCAAATTTCATGAACGTCATTAAAATCTCCACTAAAAATATAAATAAAGAAAGTTCTACTGCGGAAAAAGATAGTGAACAGCAAATAAACAAAATAAAATCAGAGCTACATCACGATTTATTTTGGACGTTCAGAATACTGATAATGTTCTACGAGGTTATCGGTCTCGCTACGTTTGCCCACCGAATTGTCATATACAAAAAGAGAACGTCATACACATTTCAACATTCCAAATTAGGAATCGTTTATAATGTGCTGAGTAGCTTAACGATAGCTTCAAACTATATATCTATACCATACAGAATTAATCATGACTACTATAAGAGGACCAATTTGACTGTAGGCATCGAGATTCTGCAAACTGTACTTGGTTCTCTGATGATCAGCACGATTTTGATTAGCTACTGCATCAATCAGAAGTCCTTGGTGCGAATCGCCAATCGATTAGTCACCATCGAACACGAGATAGGACGTTTGTATAATCTATATCATCCGCTACGACGACAGCGTATCTTCTGCACTATGATCATCGTTTGCATCTTGAAGATTTGCCTTCTGATACTTCTCCTGTTCATTAAGATTCTGAACGCTTATACAGGCCCAGTCTCATTGCTGATAGATATTCTGCCAACATTTTACATGGGTTGGCTACTGATACAGTATTTTCTGTTGGTGACGATCATTCAGACAGATTTCTCTGATGTGAATCGAGCGATACAAAGCCTCACCAGGATTAATGCGCCTGATCTTCGACTACAGTTTCTCTATCAAACGCATCGTATCATAATCGACAATTCGACTGTTCATCAACTGTTGCAATTGCGGAATGTGCATTGTCATCTTTGTGAAATCTCTGAGGATGTGTCGAGTTTCTATTCACTACCAGTACTATTCGGCATTGGTTTTCTCTTTCTGTCACTCATATATAATGGTTACCGTATTTTCTGGGTTCTGTTGATTACTGATGATGACTTAAACTTAAATTATTCTTATATTATTACTCTCATCGTATGGATAATATTTCGGATTTATCCCATCTTTCTCCTCACCAACAGAATTACCAGGATTTTAATTGAGGTAGAATAATCAATACAATAAATCGCATTTTATTCAGATCGTTTTAATCGATGAAACAAAATATTTTTGTCAGTAAATAAAAACCCAAATATTTAATGAAATATTTAAATTATAAACTTATTGTATAGATGAAGAAAACGGGCAATATAGTGCACGATCTCTTAAACTGTGCAATCGGGAAAGAGACAAAAGCAGAGGTAAAAAATAAAATTAGATAAAACTTTCTCAGAAACGGTACTCATCATAACGATATTTATCATAGATATGTTACAGCTCAAGGAATTTTCGCTTCAATTGCTACATCGCAAAATACAGTTTACAGCTAACGGATACTTTACTCTCGATAATACTTTTCTTCATTCGGTGAGAATATTTAGAATGTCAGTAATTTAATATAAATTAAGTTTTTTAAATTAATAGTTTTGATTATTATTTCTCTCAGCTAACTGGCACATTGGTGACATATTTGGTAATACTTGTGCAATTTCAAATGGGAAGCTCGCGGTCATCGATCAATGCAAACTGTACAGTAAGCAATGTAACCATACAAGGAAAGAATTAAAACAAGCGAGGTAATTAATGAAAGATAAAAAAAAACATAATGAGAGAGAGAAATATTAAAGCTTCTTAAATTGGGATTTAAAATTCAATTAAATGCAATTTATAAACACGCAGAATTGCAGTTCTGAAACTTCTTATTGTAATTTCCTAATACATACAATCAGTTCTAATTTGTAAAATTAGGAACCAAAAACTGTAAATGTATATATTGTATCTGAATTAATATTTTTAATTAATTTGTTTAACAATTAAATTGAATAAGGCTCGATAGAATAAATCAATTAATAATATTAATTTTACTTAAGGAGGTTGTAAGGCAAATGCAATATGTTAAGAACTACTAGAAAAAATTACAGACTATTCTAAATTTCATTTAATAATAATACAAAAAAA